CCAGGGACACGAAGAAAAGGATGGAAAGTGTGGGAGAGAAACTACAGCAAGGGCAGGTTGCTTTGAAGGCTAATTTTGCTTAGATAATAGCATTTCTAGGGTAAGACTTGATATCAAATATCTTAAATAATTTCAAATCTACCTAATCTCTAGTACTTTGGCCACATCAGTGGTAAAAATACAGTAATAACAAGTTCTCCTTTCTTCCTTCCCTGTATTAGATAAACTCTGTGTTCAGTGTACCCTGCATTACATGTGTTCTGGGCTTTTTAGCAGAGAGTCACTAAAGTCATTCTAGATGGATGATTTCATTTAAATATACAATGCGTACTATTAACTCAACTACAACCTAGACAGGTATGATGACTATCTCCATAAGAACTCACTTCATTAACCAAGAATAGATTGCAACCCATTACCAAGTGTTTTAAATGTGATAAGACTACCCAGAAACCCTTGGGCTCTCAGCTTGGCATGAATATGCAAAAAGCAGTTTTCAGAGTCTGAAGGAAGCAAGTACTTAGCAAGCAGTGACAGATGTGGAAGCAATCAGGCTTTCAGTACATGGCACAGGAAGGCACAATTTACCTCTTTTTAAATGCTATGCCCTTCAAAGAGATGCCCAAGTGGCCAGGGTCTTCTCTACAGAGGCAAGCCTGAGACATCAAGATTTGCAAAGGAAAAAAAAAACAAAAACAAAAACCTGAGACCAAACTCACATCTTCCTTGAAACTGATCCTGATACCAGCAAAAAATGGGAATATAGTTGGAGAGATGGGAGGAGAAAGAGGGAGCTTAGCTGGAACCAATCCACGGCAAAGCGATCAGAAGCGGTTTTCCAATAGAAAAAGAATGGGTTTGGAGTGGTGTGGGCAACTAGAGTGAAGAGAATCAGGGTCCAGGAAACCTGATTCTGGAACCATGAGATCCAATTCAAAATGCCTCATTTCATCTGACCTCAGTATTTTCACTTGTGAAATGGGAAAAATAAAACCTATATGCTTTCATTACTTGTCAGGAGGAGGGTGTAGCTCAGGTGGTAGAGTGTGTGCTTAGCATGCACAAGGTCCTGGGTTCAATCCCCAGTACCTCCTTTAAAGCATAAATAAACCTAATTGCCTCTCCCCATCCACACAAAAAACCCGATATGCTTTCATCACTTGTAAATGATATATTTGTCTCCATCCACTTGTTTTCCTGCCTACCAGTATTTACTTTTATTTTTTTAAAGTTTGATTTTTCCTTAATGTGGTTTTAATTTAAAATGTAAAAAGTTTAAGATCGTTTATCTTAATCTTGACTGTTTAAGTAAACAATGAAATTCTTTTTTAATTCATTCCCAAAGCAATAGAGGTTGTTATCACAAAAGCTGAGGTCCCACTTGGAGAATGTTTTTTTCTGTTACAGAAATATTTGTTGTAATGTCATCAGTATTTCTACCTCCAAATTAGTGGTAGGACTTACCCACTATCAATTTTGTTGATTGCTTTAATACAGGAGCCAAACCTGTTCTCAAATAAGCAGTTCGTTTCACTAAATCTGAATTTCACCAACCCATCTACTTCTGACCCAAGAACCTGGCCTCGTGGAGCTGTCAAATTCTTCGGTTCACTTTGTCCCCCTGCTTTCACTGCAAGGTAAGCAGACCTTTTTGATGCTAGGGACATGGCAGGTGGGCCTTTGCCAGCTCCACAGGCCCATGGTTTATGAAGCACATTTGCTGATGGAAAATTCAATCTCCAAAGCATGCCTTTCTAGTCAGTGAGGCTTATTTATAGCTTCTGACACAGAAGGTTTCAAGTATAGAGTGAACATCATTATTAACACTAACTCAAATGAACTCTAAAGGAAGGAAGGAGGACCATAAAATCCTCATGGGATGCCCTTAAAAGATGTGGTCTTAGAGGACTTGGCAATGGGAAAGGAAGGATGAACGGAGAAATGTGAGCCAAGGCATTCATTCATGGGACATGGGGTCTGGCTTTCCTTCCCCAGGTCATCGGTGGCCCTCTTTTTTGACTGCACAGTCTTCTCCCTCCATTTTGTTTTCTTTTGCAAAAAGAATGTCCAACATCTCTGTAGCAATACAGCCTCTTTGGCTCAGAGCCTGTGGGTACCCAGACTCCTACTCCATGGAGATAAACTCATCCTCTTGCTCACTTTTAAGTCCCTACCTCTTCAGCCGTTACCTGCCCCATCCAGCTGTGTCTCTGGGAGCTCACAAGAAAACTAATTTACTAGTTGGGTGAGTTTGCTTACATTTCATGAATGTGTTTTACTCAGTCTTTGTTTCTTCCATGTCCCCAGTTGGAACACTTTCTCACTGAATGCCACCCTGGTAAATCCTTCAAGACCCCCATCTAGCCACATTTTCTTCACGAAGCTTTCTCTGAATACCTGGTCCTCAAGGAATTTATTCTCCTCTGAATAAGTCAGGGCTATTTCATATAACTTGGCGCTAGTTAGCCACACTGTGTTATCTCTTAGTTTGTTGTGTTAGTTTCTCCAGACTATTTAAATTAGGGACCAATTTGAGTTAGGGGCTTACTGAGTTTGGGACCAAGCTGGGTTAGGGATTTAGTTTACCCAGAATGGCGGGTGGGTTTACTTTTTCTAATTTGTCTACCCAGAGGAGGTTCTTTCTGCTAATTCACACAAAGGCAGAGTACAAGCGAGCCTCAGTCTTTTCCTTCTTGTGAATGAAAAATACTGCCAGCCATATCAGTAAACAAAGTATGCTGAAGCCATCAGGTCATCAGTGGCTGCTGAGCCCTGTCCCCAGTGAAGACAAGCCCGCAGCCCTGCCTCTGCAGCCACTCGCAATGGTGCCCTCTGAGGGGACTCAGAATAAGAAAGGACAGGATGCTGGCCCTAGATAGCGAGGTGCTTGTCAAAGGAATGAATTCAGTGAGCCCAAATGTTTGCTTCCTCCCATACGTACGTAGAAAAGCGCTGAATTCTTTAACTTAAGATGTCTGGTTTTCTTCAGCTAACAAGTAATCTTTTAATGTTCCGACTATCTGGTCTTTGTTGTAAAGCTCCTATATATCCTGGCTCCTCCCACACCTCTTCGGAGCAGTTTCTCAGAGGGATCTGAGAGGCTGTCATCCCGGGCTCGAAGGAGTTCGAGTCCTCAGAAATGGCTACCAAATAAAACATAGCTCTCAACTTCGAGGCTGTGCAGTCATTTCAGTCGACATTCTCTTGTAATCAATTTCAGACACGTGCAGACCAACCTGGCTGCCATGGAGAGCCACCACACTAGCCCCTAAGGAGAAAAATAAGCTAGAAGATCCTACGAGTGGCGCCGTTCATCAAATGTTTTCTTTCAAGGCACCAGTCTTTTTTATACGTAGAAAGTTGACATAGCCTTTGTAAATGAAAAATAATGCCTGCCGTATCAGTAAACAAAGGATGCTGCAGACTTCAAGTCATCAGCCACTACCGCCACCCCCGACAGCGAGCAGAGGAACTCAGAACGGAGACAAACAGGCAGCCTGGCCTTTGCAGCCAGCCCCAGTGGTGGTCCCTGAGGGAATGCAGGATGAGAAAGAACAGGATACTGGCCCTAGACAGCTAAGGTGCATATCAAAGGAGTGATTTCAATGAGCCCAGACTTTTGCATCTTCCCATACAAAGAAAAGTGCTAAATTCCTTAACTTGAGATGTCTGGTTTTAATTAACAGTGGTCTTTTGATGTTCCTAGACTACCTGGTTTTTGTTGCAGAACTCCTCTATATGCTGACTCCCCCCTCACCTCTTCAGAGAAGTGCCTCAGAGCGATCTGAGAGGCTGCCTCCTGCCTCCTGGGCTCGACGTGGTCAGGAAGTCCGCCAGATAAAACAAAATCCTCACCTTCTAGCTTGTGCTTTTTTTTTTTTTCCAGTGACAAGGAAATTCAGCAACTGGGAGACCACGACTGCTTCCCAGACAAACTGTACCAAGTCTAGCACTGACGCAGACAAATAAAGACCCAACAGGACAAACAAATAAACTGTATACCTTGGGGCACACAGATCTCCTCCCTTTGCCTAAGAAGAGTTTCTGTCTTGGTGCTTTAAGGAGCCATGTATGGTGTGTGGGACAACCTGAGAGGAAGCGGCAGTAAGCAGTCCCCCAGCCCACTGTCCAGTATCACCCTTGTGACTTGGGGCGAGACACTGGATCTAGTTCTTACCTGCAAAATGGAGATAATACCACCTCCCTCATTCATTTATCTCTCACTCACCAGGTATTTTCTTAGGGACCCCCATGGGCCAAGCACAAAGGAGCACATGTGTGAGCAAAACAGACCTGGTCTTTGCTCTTACGAAGTGTCCAGATCATCTTGCAGGGAGGTTAATTACAGAGAAGGAACGTGTCTTTGAAATCTATAGCACTGTCACACTGGAAGGTCCTCTTCATTACCAGGGCCTTCCACTCTAGATCTGGCTGTGTGATCCAGGCAAGTCATAATTCTTCTGGGCCTTCCTATTCTCATCTGTGAAATGAGAAAAGTGCCTTCCCTAAAATCTAAGTATTCCAGTGCAGATGAAGGGTTAAGATTTGTAGGTACTTCTGAATCACAGCTTTCTAAAAGATTATTATGAAATAGTTCAGACGTATAAAAGGATAAGAATAAGATAACGACCCCTGAGGTACCGACTACTTGCCTTAAGACAGGAAACAGTACAAACAACTCTACCGGTGGGATGTCCTGCTTCCCCAGAGGAAAGAACTGCGATGAGTGTGGTGTTTATTGCTCTGAATCACGGCCCTTCTAGGAAGCCTGGTGTGTAAGTAAGAATGATTCACCAGTGAAGAGTTCCTCCTACAGGCGTCCTTCAGAGGAAGAGTGCTTGCTGGGTGTTCCCTGCTCCTAAAGAACGTGAGGTCGCGACGGTGCACATCAGAGAAAGCCGTTCTCTCCCTGCCACCCTTGCTCGCTGTCCATCCAGCAGACAGAATTAGGAAAACCACGTGGCAGGCACTTCATGGAAAGAGCAAAGTGTTATGTTTACCTTGAGGGCTTTCTGTGCAGCTTCACTGGACCCGATCGCGATCAGGTTAGGCCCGGCCATGCTGCAGAAGCTCTTCAAGTGCAGAGCGTCAGCCACAGGGACCATGGAGACCGCATAGTCCTAGGAATAAAAAAACAAAAAACAAAAAAACAAGCAGTTTGCCTTTGCGGAATAATTCTAACAAAGCTTTAAACCTGCCCAAGACGTTCTTGCTGCTCTGGATGTTGCCAGGGCCCCTGAATGTCTGGAAGAAAAACTGGGACCCACAGGGTTGGGTCTCGCCAGTTAAATGAAGACTGCCCCTCAGGGGCAAGAGCAGAGGACTGCTCCTTCCAGGCGTGTGCCTGTGTCAGCAGCTCTGCTGCTTGGTCTGTGGCCTGGGCTCCTCTGGAAGGATGGGTCTGAATATCCTGTGCAAACAAGAGCTCCCCGTCTTCACAAGGAACAGCTGTTTGGGGATTACATCCTCTCCTAAGCAGCCTGGTGAGCCAATCTGCTAATGACCAGCAGAGTAAAGGGAATGAGGGGACGCACGTGCAATGCCTCGCAGCTTCCAGCACACAGTAGGCACCCAAGCACAGGAGATCTTTGATTCTAATCTGAAAAACCCACATTTCATGTTAGAGTCAACTGGGACTCTAGGTTTTTTTTAAAGTCATCCATTGTGCCAGGAACATCTGCCTGTGGTTGTATGATTATACACAGGGAGTAAACAGATGTCCATGATAACTTTGTCTGTTGCTGCTGTGGGAGTCCCGTGAAGCCTATTTATTAATGTCTAGCTCCTAAACCTTCTAGCAAACATACAAATACTAGGAATTATTTTGCAAAGCTGGCGACATATAAATACCATTACTCATGACACACCGATCCAACGGGACTATGAATATTTATTAGGTAATTACTCTGTGCCAGGCATAAATTATCCTTTACCTACCTTAAAAGTATCAGCCAAGATTTCCGCACCTCGTTGATTTGTCCGCTTGGAAAGGCCCACAAAAAATTCTCTGCCTATAACAAATGTCATGGAACACAGTGAGTGGGTGGCACAGGGGTGGTGCGCCATGTCTCTGGCTATAAATAAAGACCTTAAAGCATCACACAATTCTTTCCTACCACAGAGGCAGTTCCACGTATACTCTGACCCCTGCTCTCTTCACACAAATCAGATTTCAAACTATTGCCTTTAGAAATGAGCTTTTTCAAATTCATAGAGGCAGAACGTAGAATGGTGGTTGCCAGGGGCTGGTGGTGGGGGGTGGTGGTGAGGCGGAACGGAATCAGTGTTGAACGAGCATAAAGCTTCGTTTTAGGAAGGTGAAAAAGCGCTGGAGATGGATGGCGCCGATGGTTGCACAATGTGAACATAGTTAATGCCTCTGAACTGTACGCTTAAAAATGGTGAGGCGGTAAATTTTATGTTATATATATTTTACAACAAGAGAGGAAAGTTTTTGTCTAGGAAATAACAGAATTCAACGCGTTAATAATCAGAGATTAAGCAATAGCAATGACAAGTTAGTAGAGCTTCCTTTTTTTTGCCCTAAACGAACAATACTAGACAGTCTTGATGAAGTCAGCTCCCTTTTTTCATAATGTTGGTGTAAGAGCTGAAGAAATCATCTGGATAAGGTGAGTTTGGTGCTGACCGTCTTCAGGTCTGAGCGCTAAGATCAGTCTTTAAAACAATACATCCATCTATTTCAAATCGAACATCAAAGATGCCAACTTACAAAGCACTAAAATTTAGGAGAATGAAACTTTCCACTTATTTGGCTTTTCTGAAATTGTGTAATTTTTCGCCTCAGAAGGCAAAACATTAAGTAAAAATGGTCTCTTAGAGGCAAAGAAACAATTATAGGAGAGAGAGTTAGGCAATACATAAATGCAGGGGTTCTCATCTTCCCTTAATTCTTTAGAAAAGAATTCTACATGAATGTGGAAAAATATTCCAAGAGAAATGAGGATACATTCTGCCCCAGAACATTAGGGTAAAATACAAGGAGAGCAGCCATGTAGAAAGGATTTCTTGATAGACTTGACAACTGTTACAACTTGAATCTTCATGGTGTCTTTATAAAAGGGGTAAATCACATGGCTCAGATGACATTATGATCTATTCCATATCTCGTATACTGTTGGCAGATATGAGAATCGTTGGTGGCACACTGACAGTGTTTTTGGTAATGGTATGATTGTGCTGTCCCTTAAGAAAACTCGCTACATACAAAATCAAAACTTGAGTAAGGGAAAGGTCCTTTACTTGATAAAAGCATTACTTTATTAAAAAAGTCAGTTGAAATTAAAAAAAACCTCAAATTTCCTTAATTCTCTAAAGATAAACATAGATTTACAAATTAGATTTACACACAATACTAAAGAAAGACATTTAATGCATTAAGCAAATTTAAACAAATTTATAATGGGGCTTCCATACTATTTTCATTTTAAAAGAGTAAGGTGAGATAGGAAAGTACAAAGAAAAGCAAACTGCTGGTCTCCTTAAAAAATAAGTTGGACTTGTGCTTCTGGCAGTATTGTGGGTTCTGTCCCTTAAATGGTCTTCCAGTAAAAACAACTAAAATGCTGAAATTGAAATATTAAAAATTTTTTGGTCGTTATGCCTCATGTCATTTCTTTCTACACCAATTTATCCTCTTTTTCTTCTCCTTCCTCACCTCACTCTTTTACAGAAGAAATCAGGTCATTTTTCCTGTTGACTCTCCTACATTCTGGATTCGTTGATTGTTTCCTTGTGTACCATCTAGCATCAAATCGCTCCTTTATCCTTTGTATTCTTCATAAACTGATAATTTATGTATAAGCTTAATTAGTTTCTTGTTCAAATTTTTTGTTCACTTGTTTGTTTTTGCTTTTGCACAGGACTGCTTCAGGAACGGGATGTACTGCTGCTGCGTCACAGCATGGGGCACGTGACTGGCTGCCACATTTTCAGTGACACTAGACTGACCAGGGTGTTCAGGTGGTATTGGCCTGATTCCTCCACTGTAAACTTCCCCATCAAACTTTCATATAAAGGTTTTAACATCTTTTGATGATCACTGCACAGATCTATTATTTTATTAGGAATCTACATTTACTGGGCTAGAATTTTAAAAGGAAAAATTCCCCTCAATCAAGTATTTGGTCTACTTGAAACAGAACTCACAGAGGAAAGACAGGCTTCCTTTACATTCATTAAGTATCAGAGTAATGAATTGGTGTCTCAGCAACTTACAACGATGACCAATATGTTTTTTTTTTAAAAAATCATTATCTACTAATAAGCCAAAGAATAAATCACAATGGAAGTCAGCAAATATTTGGAATTCATGGTAACAAACTACTCTAAGCGCAGGGAACTACATTCAATATCTTGCAATCACCTATGATGGGAAAGAATCTGAAAAAGAATATACATATATATGCATAACTGAATCACATCTGAAACTAATACAACATAACACTGTAAATCAACTATACTTCAATTAAAAACAAGTCAAGGTTATTCTTTATTATTTTAATTTTTAAAAATTTTATACAATTTTTAAAAGGTTACTTTCCATTTACAGCTACTACAAAATATTGGCTGTATTACCCATGCTGTGTAACGCATCCTTCAGCTTATCTTACATCCAACAGTTTGTACCTCCCACTCTCCCATCCCTACATTGTCCCTCCCCATCAGTGGTAACCACTAGTTCTCTATATCCATGTCTGCTTCTTTCCTGTTATATTCACTAGTCTGTTGTATTGTTAAGATCCCACATGTAAGTGATATCACACAGTTTTTGTCTTTCTCTGTCTGACTTATTTCGCCTAGCATAATGCCCTCCAGGCCCATCCACGTTGCTGCAAATGGCAACATTTTGTTCTTTTTATAGCTGAGTAGTATTCCATTGTGTGTGTGTGTGTGTGTGTGTGTACACACCCCACACCTTCCTTATCCATTCATCCGCTGATGGACACTTAGCTTGCTTCCGTACCTTGGCAATCATAAACAATGCTGCTATGAACACTGGGGTGCCTGTATCTTTTCAAATTAATGTTTTTGGTTTTTTCAGATATTACCCAGGAGTGGAATTGCTGGGCCATATGGTAGTCCTAATCTTAGTTTTTTGAGGAACCTCCATACTGTTTTCCACAGTGGCTGCACCAATTTACATTCCCACCAACAGTATACAAAGGTTATCTTTTCTCCACATCCTCGCCAACATTTATTTGTAGACTTTTTGATGATAGCCATTCTGACAGGTGTGAGGTAGCTCAGTGTGGTTTTGAAAGCCAAGCATTAGGCACCCAGGTGTTCATTTTATTATTGGTCTTTAAACTGTGCATAAACATTTTATAACTCTTTTTCATATGCTCCATATTTCGCAAAAATAAATAAATGAAAGTAGGGGTGAGTCGATATTCTCTATTTAAGAGAAATAGGATTGAAACAACTTCTACCAGTAGCTGTTTGTCTGACTGACAGATTTCCCAGTGGAACTGGAGTTGCAAAGCTGCTTTCCTTCTGTCCATTTCTGGATCAATTATTAATGAAGCTCCGAGTTTCAGCAGCAGGAGGACACAGAGCACAAGGAAAATGCTACAGATTTTGTTTCTCACCCAACTCTGCTTAATCCAAAAACTGAGTGGTGATGGTTGGACAATTTTGTGAATATAATTGATGCCACCTGATTTGTACACTGAAAAATGGTTAAAATGGCAAAGTTTATGTTATATTTATTTTGTTACAATTTTAAAAAAGAAAAAAAAATTGAGAAGTAGGAAATAGAAGTCAGGACCAGACATTAGGTGTGAACAAGAAGCCAAGTAGATGACGTTCTTAATATCCCAACAATCTCCGTTTTGAATAAAATAATTTTTAAGATATGAACTTAAGTATTGAGTATTACAAAAAAAAAAAAGCTTGCAGACAGTGTCAAAGGTAAGCCTCAATGCTTAGTACCTAATTAGAAGTGATGGGAAAAACATTAGGCTTGAGATGCTGTGGAAAGATCTTTGGCCAAAGGAAGAGGTTCCTAAGTTGTGTGGTAACACTGAGAAGATTCTAGGGACTCTGTTCAGCTCAGCGGCTGAGATAACCACGTGGCTGTGGACACAGCCTGTTTTAAATCATTCTTTAAATAGTCTCCGTACCTGCTTACAGTAAGTTATTTATTATATAGCTATGTTCTGGTGAAAAGAAGATTTATTGTATAGAAGTGTGATTTCCACATCTAGCTTTCCACAAAAGCCTATTTTCTAAGAGAAACAGACTGTTGTTCAGTGCTGCTAAAAAGAATGAAAGTGCCATCAATGGGGGACACAGAATACTCTGAGCGGAACTTAATAGGCAGATTCAAAGAATGCCTGAGTCGGCTTGGACACAACTGGAGCTGAGAATGCAGCGTGGGCTTCTCCGACCCTTGTTCTGTGTTCTTAAGACTCAGTGAGGATGCTCACCACACCCCAGGGGCAGGGCCGTTGCCTACGACAGTGGAAGCACAAGCTGTGCAGTGCACAGCTCCAGGGGAGACTGCTCCCAAACCGATAATAAAAAAGGCATCCCCGTGGCTCAGCCACACAGTGTCCCTACCCAGAGGTATGTGACACCAAGCAAGGAACTGTGCAAATTTCCCAGGATAAATACTCCTCCTCTTTCAGGAACATTAATTATATCAAAATGTAAGTTATACTAAACATTATTTTTATATTAAAATGAAGATGGTTATATTTTGTCTATATACATGGGATTCAATATAAAATTCACAGCTGCTAAAATATTAGAATTCTAGAGGCTTCATGCTTTCAGTGGGCCACTTGGGGCTACATTCCCAAATCTCTGGGGACCAGTCTCTGCTATGAGGGCTACACCTGTGAAACAGGTATTTATTCTTTGATAAGTAAGGGAAAATAAACTCTCATCATCCACTAAAAATTTTATTAAATATCTTGCCTGTTAGTATAACTAGAATGCAGCTGGGGATCCAGATTTTAGCACATGACTTTACAAAATAATAACATGATCATAAAGAGTTGGAAAGGTTAAATGCTAAAATTGCCATTTCTTTAGTAGCTGTATTACACCCACTATGAAAACTGATTCCAGTTAGATCAATAATAATATCAGCTGTTTATATTTTGTTGTGTTCTGCGATTATTCACTGGCATTAAGTCAAGCCAATTTGCATTGAAAATTATTTAAATTTATCTTGCCGTCTGGGAAGAAAATTATTTCTAAATGACACAACTTGAATTAAGAGTTTTTCAGATACAGACCTGATATACTCTCACACAATGCAAAATGATGTAACCCATAATCTAACGGTGTAAAAGAACATAATAGATACAACGTATAAAATGATATGTACACACTGATAACATGTAAAAAATATACAAATACATGCATACAAAGGCACTAAAAAGACATACACCCAAATATTGAAATCATTATCTTTGAATGAAAGGTCATTTGTAAATTTTCTCTCTTTTGTGCTTTCTGTATTTTCCAAATTCCCTGCATTTAACATTTTCACTTTGGTAATTAAAAAAAAACTGTAACTAAACAAGGGAATAGAGGCCAGGTATTAGAACTATTTTTTAGCTAGGAAAAAGCAAGTACAACTATACCTGTGAATAAGACATCTCCACCATCCAGGGTTGCGTTTTCATCTTTCATCTCTACTATATTGAGCTGAAGTTTTTCTAATGCTTCTTTCATCATGTCAACCTGTTGCAAACAAAATGATTCAGATTAATATCCTACCGTTTTCTAACAAGCAAACCCATCATCTCAGACTTCAGACCACTGAATTATGCTCCCCTGAGCACACACGCACACAGACACACACCCCTGTGAATACTACAAATGTGTGTAGTGTCGTTTGGACTAGCCATGATCATTTGCAAGACAAGAAGCTATCCATTAGAAATTGTCCATTTTGTCCACTTCTAGTCTAAGCTCAGGTCAACATTAGAGTCCTTTTTTTTCTTCTGTTGGAGGCTGACTACTTAGGATACTTGAAAGCGTGACTAATTAGGGCACATGAGTCAAGAAAAGTGGGAGGCAGAACACCCAACCCTCCTATCGCTGCCAGAAAAGACAAAACTTAACATTAACTTTTGCCAGTTGGTCAGAACCACACACACACAGAGTAATACGTGGAAGGAATATCCATGACAATTACCAGTAACATGAAACCTCAGCCCATAGGACAGTCACTGTTGTTCAGTAAGTATTTTCTGAAATATCAGAACATCTAAGGCTTCTCTGTAAATCTCAACTGTTATTTAAATTTAACCTGCGTCCCCAGAGGTGATAATATGATAATTGCAGTTAAACCAAATAATACTTGAAAATGAATGTCAGGGACTTCCTATGATTCCAGGGTACAATCTAAAACACAGAGATATTCTGGGCTGAACTGGGAACACTTGTAGTAAGGTTTACTTTAATACGAGAAAAAAATACAAGGCATAAAAAATGCCCTCTGGAGTTCACAATTTAAGTCCTTCCAGCAGCTCAGCAAAACAATTTAAATATTTCTGAAGGTCTGTATAACCTTTAACAGGTTGAAGACGTATATTGAGGAGACTTGAATAGGGAGTAAGGGAAAAACAAGAGATCACGTGACACTGGGAAAAGCAGAAGTTCTGCCAAAATACAGCATGCCCAGTACACATAGCGAATTGTCAATGGAGAGTTTAGGAGACAAATATAGCAGAGTAACTTCTAAAGTAATAAAAATATGGAAATACTTTGACAGCAAGCCCGGCATTCATGCAGTCAAAAAAAAGTAAAGAGGATGCAAAATAAGATAAATATATCATCTCATCCTTGTCCTGGAACTCATGTCAAAATTCCATAAACCAGAGTGAGTCAGAACAATAAAAAATTATTTCCATGGACGAAACGGTCTAAATGTTGTAATAAATACATCAAGTGACCTCTTTTAGCAGCAGAAGAGGTTTTCCTGTGTAACAGGAAGTAGAATCGTTGCTATAGCGTAAAAAAGAAGCAAAACAACTTTGACCATGACTTGTTGGGCTGCAGTGAACCCAGGAAAACACACAACTGCTTCCTTCTGGCATCTGCCTCCATGTCCACAGAAAACTCACTGAGTTTACAGAGATCATGAGAACTGAGCTCCTGTTACCCTTTCTTTCTATCATGAATGCTACTGCTTCTGTCACAAGTTAACATTTCAGAGATGACTAGGAATTCAGCAATAACATGTCTTTTGGTCTGAAAAGTTTATATGTGGTATCTCAACTCAGGAACTTGTATTCAACTCTTAATGAAGGGTTTAAAGAGAACAGAAGTAGGGAGGCTAATGGAGACCAGCTTAGGGAACACTGTACTTCTTTAAAAGGCCTATGTCTTTCAAATTAAAGTTTTAGAGGATAAAATGCTTGTGGTTTCTCAAAAGCTAAAACAGCTGCACTGACATGAAAAGCTGGCTTTTGTGCAAAGGCAGGACACTTTTTGTTGTTTTTTTTAATATTCAGTCACATCTATATGAACAGTCATTAGGACAGGTCCATACCACAAACTCTGTTGATACGATTACTTTCAGAGTTAAGGTTATGGACAAAAAAAAAGTTTTAAACATCAAGTGAACAGTTTTGAGGACTGCAGGACCATATGGCATCAGATGGGCAACGCTAACCCCAGGGAAATTTCTGGAGAAGAAACAAGAGAGGCTGGACCTGGAGCTTGCCCACTGAGAACCACACACTCTTGGCACAGGGGTTCCATGAAGCGAACAAACTCGTCTGCAAACAGGGCCCAGCGTTGCCCTGACACACGGACCCACAGCAAGCCAGCTATTCAGGCAGTTAGAACACTAAATGCAATTATAGAAGCGGGAATTTTTGCAGGAAAAGATCCAAACCATGAGCCTTCAAGAAACTGCCCTTTCTGTGGTTACATGGCTATGGTTAATATTGACCTAATTAACTTTCAAGAGGAAAAAGAAAAAAAAAGACTAAACAACACTCCCACCTTTCACTGAGACAGTAACCTTGCAGTTGGACCTTAGCATTACTCAGGGTGGAGAGAAACTGTCAGAACAAACAGTATTAATTCCAAAGGTTGAGTTGAATGGGTCATTTTAGCCGATGAAATTAGAAATAAAAAGGGCAAATCAGAGAAACATTCATTAATTTAAATTTAACTGTATTATTTTCATACTCTGTTCTAAAAAATTTGCAAGAAATTCTTCCTTCTCTCTCTACATTCATTGTTTCTTTTTTGTTTGTTTGTTTTTTACTTTATACTCCCATTTTTTTTTTTTTGCCGCATCTTTTCTCCATCCACTCTTTGCTACAGATTCCTTCCCTGGCCACAGGTGGTTCAGGCCACCCATGCCCCTTTCAATCATCCAACCCACACGTCTTTCTTTTCAAGAGCTAGTACTATTTTCAAGGTAATTATCTTTTTGTTTCTTCCGTCCTTCCCTTTCTTTTTTTTCTGGAGTCTGAATGCTAAAAAATGTAGAGTTCTTGGTCATAGAGTCTCTCCTGGGAATGTCTGTAGTGTATTGTTATGACCCAGGGCCTGAGGTTGAAACCCCAACTCTGCTACACATTAGCCAAGTGACCTTAAGTGTTTCACTTTTTGAGCCTCAGTTTTCTCATCTTTAAAATGGGTAGCTAGTCATAATAGTACCAAATTCCTGGGCTCCCTCTGAACATTACACACATGTAGAGCACTTAGCACATGATAATTGCTCAACAAATATTTGATACGACTTATTATTTTGATGAACACCAGCTTGTGTGGTCCCAGGGGCAAATACTTGGACTAGGAAACTGACCCACAAGAGGAAAGCTGTAGCTTTCTCCTACATTTGGATGGGTTTCTGGTGTTTTACCACCCCATGACAGATCCCATCTGCTTTCTAGAGAACTAAAATTACAGTCTTTTCTGAAAAGCCAATGTAAAGTCAGAGCACAAACATTGAAGACACATTTAAATGTAAATCCTTCCAGTTCGATTTCCTTCCAGCCCCAGGAAGCTGTCAGGCTATGTGGCAGACTTCTTGCATCACCTCTGCTTTGAAATGGCCCCTGGAGGTGGTACATAAGGTGGGAAGTGGGCCTCTCCGGCTAGATGCCCCGCAGGATGCAAAAGAGCGTCAGCCAGGATGACACAGGATGACTGCAGTTACTGAGGACGTGACGCCCTGAGGGCTCCGTCTGAAGAGCTCCCTCTGCGTCCCAACACCTGCTCTCCTTTGCTGACCTTTCCTGCTCTGCTCTCCCCTGTCCTTCTTTCATGGCTTCATTTCTGCTCCTTCATTTGTCCTGTCATGTTTAGATCATCATCTGGCCTTGTCATTTTGCTCCTTTTGGGTTCCCATGGCTACTGGAAACAACTGGGGATTTGAATACAGGCTATGTCACTTATTAGCCACATGACTTCACTTCTTCGAGCCGCAGTTTCCTCATCTGCAGATGGGGTAATGTTTTCTCTCTAGTGCAGATTACATGAGGGACAAATACACTAATACACACAAAGCGCCTGGTGCAGCACCTAACACATTGTGCACAAAACCAGTAGTTGCTGGTAGCATTATTATTCTGCTCTAAATTAACTCTGTGCTTTGGATTCTGGCTACCTCTCAAAAAAATAAAAACAAAGATGAAACGTACCATTTTCAGTAATGGTTTTAAATAAAATCTCTTTTGATTTCCAACTCTGTTTTTTTTTTTCTTACAAAATTTCCCCCAAATACAAAATACCAAAGCAAATAAAAAATCTTATACATTTTTACTGGCAAATTATATTACATCCTAGTTTGCAACATACCCTAATTAGTTTGATACTCTTTATTTAGATGCCAGTGCTTTCCAGTTGGCCCTGTCCAAAGTTGACTTTGCTTCATATTTTTAACAATGTCCAGTTTGAATGTTTCATGTCTTCCTTTTGGATGCTGAGAACATGCTCACGAGGCCTGATGAGCAGTTTTGTGCTGAGGCTCCATTAAGAACTATTGTTTGCCAAGACACTTCCTTTTAGCTGCCCCTGCTCCATGGGCTGCCAGATGTAAGGACTACAAATGAGGCCCTTGGCACTGGGCTGTCTGCAGCCGGCTTGTCTCGGTCACCCACAGTGCTGCCCTGCGCTGGGAGCTGGGCTGTTAGCACCAGGACCGCTACGTTTTCAATGCCCATCCGCTTAAACGTTCTGAGTTCCTTTTAAGTCATCATATTAGCAAAGCTTTAAAATTATCCTGGCATCCTATCTATACTCTGGTCTAACTCTGAAGAGCTGAAGAGCAGCGACTTAGCATTGTTGGTAGTGAGATGGTTTCATTTTCTTAACTTGTCGCTGACTTTGTTTTAGCTGTTAATGTTAAGTGTGACACGTGGACAATGCCGAGGAAACCACTCCAGAAACTGACGTGACTTCCCTGGCACGGCAAGACACAACTGGCTTGGAACTTATGGATGCACTGAAATCACACTGTGCTGCCCCTGGCCACATTCTGTTTGTTTATACCACCTTAATGTTCTTTGTTAATCAGCACATCTTTGGTCACTGTGGCTACTTGGATGAGTACATTTGGCTGGTTTTATAATAATACTTAAGGTCCACATCATGCTTTCATGTATATTCTCTCCTATGATCAACATTTCAAGTTCAATAAACATTTAGTGGATGCCATTTTTTAAAAAAAAAACAAGCTTCAAAGATTTAAAAAAATCCACAAAACCATAGTCCTT